AAGCGAATTCGAATGTCCACGTACTATTTTAATTAAACAACAACAACACCACATTTTCTTTATAAAAAAATTGAAAAAGAAAATTACCCTCGACATGGTACCCTCGACCCTCGACATGGAACCCTCGACCCTCGACAAAAAGATAGACTCGAAGGGAGACCAGGCATAGGCATCAATTACTGCCCTACCCCAGGGACATCATAGTTGGTCAAAAAAAAACTAATTATCTACCCCTTCCCCCTAACTACGCGGTCAAAGTAATATCTTCCCAGTCTGCTCAGATGCCAATGTCTTTCAGAATTTCCTTTCTGAGTTCAGTCTGTCAGCACATTTTCTTGCATCCTGCTGGAAATGTTTTCCACTTATAAAGGTAAACAAAATTTTATCTGTTAATGTTCAAATTTCCTTGCTTTCAAACTCAAGCAAAACAGTCAATAAGAGTTAAACTTCCTGACACAACAAGAGCGAGACGAGGTTGGAATAGATGGATTCACGAGTAGGAAAGAACGCTGAGAATGAGCTCGAACAATAGATACCTAATTGTTGCTTTTAATTTTCACATCATGTTCATTTCTCCTCCTCCTCCTTGTACGTGTGTTTAATAAGTTACCCACAGATCATTATGGTAACGGCTATATTGCTGCCATCTTTGCTTATCACCCCCCTCCCCTGCTTATGCAACTGGAGTGGTAACCAGGTCTTTCTCAACTTCCATTCCAAATCGCCGTCTAGTCCTCACACCAGCAATTGGCGATAATTATTAGATTCGGTTTTTGTGATATCCGGAATAATCAAGGTCTCGGTTAGTGTTATCAGCATCAGCCTTCGGCTTCGGCTGATAATACTTGCCTCGACCTTGATTATTCCGGATATCACAAAAACCTCATCCAATAATTGTTTATAATCTGATTGGTCAACTTTGTCTGAAGTGGCCCCGATTACAGTAGTGACACTGTTAAAGGCTATGTGGATAATTTCCAAAAAAGTGAAATGAATAATTTAGGGACTTGACAGCAAGTACAAAATTTCTTTATTCAAAGCTCCAAAAGATTTCTGTAGAAGAGGTAATTCGCTCTAGGAAGCTTTCACGTTTTAAATTATTCCTGTCCCAGCTTCAATGTTTTCTGGGTGCACTTACCTCCTATTTCCTTTTTTGCATGCAGAAAAGTTTCCCTTTTCCACCTTTTTGCATGCAACAAAGGAAATAGCAGACATCTGCATGCAGGCTTGGAGGATATGTCACTATCGCCCCATGTAAGGAAATCCGGATTCCGGAATCCAGGAATTTTGTGCTTGTGGAATCCGGAATCCTGGGCTTTGGAATCCGGAATCCAGCACTAGGGATCCGGAATCCTACTAAAGATTGGAATCCAGAATCCAACTTACTAATTAAAAGATCCACTCCTGATTGGATTGAGCTACTCGCTCGAAAGAAAAACCATCTATGGAAAGCCTCCCCAGGGTGTATGCCTCAACGTGATGACATACAGTGTAATATCGGCATATCAGGTGTCAAAACCATAGTTGACGAGCTCCATATGAAAGGTCAAGGTCACGGTCAGCGAGGGAACCCTTGCTTATGAGCGGCTGACAGGATCACAAAATTCGGGGGTTTTCGGGGGAATACAGCGCAGCCTTTTTAAGGTATAAATTGGATTGTTGTGAATAACTTCAACCTCTGGCTATGTTTGATTCTCTGTTGTTCACTCGCTTCGCTGAACTTAAAAAATAAAAAGCGATTTGACCTGGCATAGGATTGGAAAAGGTGCACCTGGGGTGAACCTTTTCTTGAACCTTTCTGGTCCTCCTGGTTCACAATTGAAAATAAACGTCCACTTTCAACATTTTACCAAAAAAGAAAAAAAGAAATTCACAGTCTGCTAGTCCCTAATTTGGTCCTAGTAGTTTCGGTCAGAACAGTTTCATGGTTTCCATAATCTTTATTTGAGAAATAAGCTAGGTACTGTCAGAAGCCGTACCAATCAGCTGTCACTAAAGTAATCACGTGCAAGGCCGCGGTGGGTGCCTTTTTCATTCATCCCCGGCATTCAGGTGAAATCTCGCCACCTCATCGATGAGACGAGCCTTTTGAAGTTTGTTGTCTGTTGGATTTTTCTTTTCTACTTTATTAAAAAAGAAAAAAAAACATTATTGGAAAGCACAAGCAAAAACAAAAGGCTGAGAGAGAAAGGTACGTGTAATACTGCGTTGTGAAATTTTATACCAATTTTTAGCTGACTGATAGATCTAAACGTGCCAAAGGCAAAGCTGCATGATTTTTCGTTTGTGTCGATCTGTGGACTGTAACGTGGCGGTAAGCAAGTCACAAACATGAACGAAAAATTGATTTTTTTTCTCAATCATAATTGAATGTAATATAAAGTTTACGTCGTCCGTGGAGAAAATATCGTATAAATGAGCGCTATATGGTTGTAAAACGCTTAAAACTAGCCAACGCGTCAGAAACGCTTAAGTCTCTCTTCATCTCTCAGTCATCTCAGACTCGGTCGAGGAACAGACGGATTTTTCATGTTTTCTTTCTACAGTTGTGCTCCTGAATAGGCCTCGTTCACATTAACGTCGCTTTTGGAAATTAGACCGATCTGAGATCGGTTTAGTCCGTAACTTTTTTTTTGTTAGAAATGGATCCTAGAGACCCCAGACCATCTCAGAGACCCAGATCTCTTATTGACGAAGCCGAAGGCGAGATCTGGTCAAATCCGATTATTGCCTGTCAGGAATGTGACAGGCGATGAAAGAGCGCGTGCTCGAAATAAATCCTCAATTTTCGACGTCTTAAACAACGAATTTGATAGAGCCGTGAAGTTTTTTTTCTAGCAAAACGTGGTTATACGCACATCCTAAGTATGAACCAACTATTTTTTTGTTGTTTGTGTTCTTTTTAACATCAAATTCAACGCGACAGTTAGTTTGAATTTCATTATCATTGCGCGCGCTAAAACCTCAAAGCAGTACGCGTCAACTTCTACGCGAGAATTTTTTACCCTCTTCAAAAGTCTTTATTGACACGGAGAGAGAGTTTTAAAAAGTCTTAAAGGATAAGATAAAAATGGTTTTCCAAGTTTTATTGAGACGGAAAACTACTCTTTAGTGAACGGAACCAAAGACTTTAATTTGCAAAGAATGAATTGCACACGCCACAGCGTATTTTTATTTGGCCAGTTACTAATATAACTCTGTGGGACGTTAAAGAACCCACACACTATTCGAAAAGAGTAGGGGACGTAGTTCCCGGTGTTGTGGTCTATCTTCATCACTTACATCATCACTCATCATGGGTTGGGAGGGTCCAGTGGGCTCATAAATGGACTGATAGCGGCTGCCATCGGCGCCCTTAGTATGCTGATGTCCGAGCCCACAGCAAAAAGCTATGTAAAGAGGACATGTATGTTTGTCCTCTCAATCGCGACATTTACATTACTTTACATTTACACTAATAAAACGAGATTCCAGGCAAAAAGAGACAAAACGACCTAAACGATCCACAACGATCAAAAATAATCTACAAAAGATCCACAACGACCCAAAACAAGCCAAAACAAGTTCCACCCTCCTAGGAACGTCGGTTAAAATTGATTAAATAATGACTATTTCACTGCGTTTTCATACCCGGAGCGTAGGATGATCTGTATGGTCTTTTTATGCAAAAAGGGGTTCTTAGGAGTTCGTCACGGGAACGCGTGACGAACCCCTAAGAACGTCTGCGTGGGAGGCTAGTAATTTTGTAAATCGAAAAAGAAAACAAACTTGTTATGCCTTGCCTCTATGGCAAGATTCGAACACGAAAACAAAGTGCGAAGAAAAGAATTAAAACCGGAAAAAAAATGGAATCCACCTCTTTTTGGAATCCGGAATCCACTGTGCTGGAATCCGGAATCCAGTACCCGGGATCCGGAATCCACAGCATGTAATCCAGAATCCAAGACTGTCCTGGATTCCCTTACATGGGGCGATCACTAACAAAAACTGTTTGCCAAACCTTGTCCTTAATGTTAATTGATGGTCTCACTCTGCTCTATAATTGACATCACTGCAGGTACCAAAGTTGTGAAATTTGGGACCTAATTTCCACACTGTAAGCAGACAAACTTTGAAACATCTAAGCTGAAACTTGCATGGTGACAATTTTGTTGTTGAAAAATTGATTCGCATTGAAAACTATTTACTATTAACAGCCCGTCGTATCTACTGATCTGTCAACTTAATAGTAAAAATAATTGGCTTTACAATGCAACAAATACTATTATGATTGATAAGAAAAAGTCATGTTTTCATTTTTTTAGGTGATTTTGTCCAGTACTTAACCCGGGACAAATTTTGTCTGCATTGCCTTTGAAGATTGTCCCTTCTGGGGGAAAATCGGCAATTGTAAAGCATTATTGGTGATGACAAAAAATCTGTTTAAGACAGCTTTTTTGCTTATAGTGCAGATAGGCCCTTGGTCAATGCCAGCTGGTTGTAAAGAGTTGGCCAGGGGGACTCGAGCCAATCAGAAACGGGAAAATATTTTGAGTAAAATAATTAATAATGATGAATAACGCTGTCTTGCAAAGACGTTAAATTTACATGTATACGCACTTTCTGAACCTTAAGATTTCTTTTCCTCTTTGTTCTTTAAAGTTCACCTATTTAAGATACACTGTCGGGGGGGATCAATAATAACGTTTACTTGCTAATTACTATTTTTATTATTTTCATTTTAGATTACAAAGAAAGGACAAGGCTACCTTTATTTAATATTTTGAAACATGGAGGATTATTCCAGTGCAAAATTAAAAGCCTGTGTTCAAGATGGAGGTGGAGTGGTAAGTTTGAATCTAAGTGGAAAAGGACTCTCCAGGGTACCTGATGCAGTCACTGAACTGACCGAAGCGGAGGAACTTAAGCTGGATGACAATAACCTGACTGAATTACCAACAAGTATTAACAAGCTGAAAAATCTTATCAGTCTCCATTTGAATGGTAACAAATTTACAGAACTTCCTTCTGAGATTGGTGACTTAAAGGAGCTAAGGAGGCTGGATGTGAATTATAACCAGTTGGTTAGTTTACCCACCAGTGTACAGAAGCTGAGCCAGCTTGAGGAGCTGTACTTGTATGGTAACAAATTTACAGAACTTCCTTCTGAGATTGGTGACTTAAAGGAGCTATTGTCGCTGGATGTGAGTTATAACCAGTTGATTAGTTTACCTACCAGTGTACAGAGGCTGAGCCAGCTTGAAGAGCTGTACTTGTCTGATAACAAACTTACAGAACTGCCTTCTGAGATTGGTGACTTAAAGAAGCTGAGGAGGCTGGGTGTTAGTGACAACCAGTTGGTTAGTTTACCCACCAGTATACAGAAGCTGAACCAGCTTGAGGTGCTGCAGTTGTATCATAACAAACTCACAGAACTGCCTTCTGGGATTGGTGACTTAAAGAAGCTGAGGAGGCTGGATGTGAGTAACAACCAATTGGTTAGTTTACCTACCAGTATACAGAAGCTGAACCAGCTTGAGGTGCTGCAGTTGTATCATAACAGACTTACAGAACTGCCTTCAGGGATTGGTGACTTAAAGAAGCTGAAGAGGCTGTATGTGAGTTACAACCAGTTGGCTAGTTTACCTACCAGTATACAGAAACTGAACCAGCTTGAGGAGCTGTACTTGAGCGATAACAAACTTACAGAACTGCCATCTGAGATTGGTGACTTAAAGGAGCTGAGGGATCTGGATGTGAGTATCAACCAGTTGGTTGGTTTACCTACCAGTATACAGAAGCTGAACCAGCTTGGGTAGCTGCAATTAAAAGGTAACAAACTTACGGAACTGCCTTCTGAGATTGGTGACTTAACGGAGCTGAGGAAGCTGTCTGTGAGTAACAACCAGTTGATTAGTTTACCTACCAGTGTACAGAAGCTGAACCAGCTTGAGGAGCTGCACTTGAATGGTAACAAACTTACGGAACTGCCTTCTGAGATTGGTGACTTAAACAAGCTGTGGTGGCTGTATGTGAATAACAACCAGTTGGTTAGTTTACCTACCAGTATACAAAAGCTGAACCAGCTTGGGGAGCTGCACTTGAATGGTAACAAACTTACGGAACTGCCTTCTGAGATTGGTGACTTAACGGAGCTGAGGAGGCTGTATGTGAGTAACAACCAGTTGGTTAGTTTACCTACCCGTATACAGAAACTGAAACAGCTTGAGCAACTGCACTTGTCTGGTAACAGACTTACAGAACTGCCTTCTGAGATTGGTGAATTACAGGGGCTGTGGAGGCTGGATGTGAGTGGTAATCCTTTATCTTCGGTTATAACAGGTGGGTGTGGGGATAATTTTCAATGAAATTGTCATCGATAAGTCAGTTTTTAGAATGGTGCTTTTCATAGATGTGAAATATTTCAATTTAAAAAAAGTGCCTTTATTTTTGTCTTTGGTTTTAACAAGGCTCGAGCAAAATTAGGAATGGCCAAACTAACCTTCCTTCATACTTTGTGTAGTTATTTGTTAATAGTTTCAAATGAAATTCACTCACTGTGGCATTCGTTTGACTGCTAACATCAACCTGCCCCCCTCCCCCCCGCCGCCCACCAATGACTTCTGTTTATTGTCATTTACAAAGGGAACGGAAAATGTTTGTTGAAAAGGCTAAAAAAAACGTTTCTGAGGGAATGTTTTTTCGTTCGAAGTTGTGACAGGATATAAATATTTTACCCAACACCTTTTTGAAATGGCAAGCAAATTTTAATTTATAGTTCGATGCCATGATGAAGGCAACTTGGCAGTGTTCCTTAACCTTAGCATCTATATCTAAGGTCCTTTACTGAACAATGTACCATACGCCCCACGAGAATATTTGACCTCTAAAGTTGCAAACACAGCAAGAAAATGGACTATATATTTTGTATTGTAAACATAAACATTTATTTGAGTTAGGTAACAAAACTTTCATAAAATGAAAAAGGAGTTTCATGAGATCATAACCATATGAGTTACAGATATTTTCTGTAGGCTTTACAATCGAAAGCTTACGCGAGTGTTGTACAATCAGCTAATCCTTGCGGGTAAAAAATTTCGATTCATTAGAAACCTGTCGTTTCGATACAAATCATTTGGATACGAACTCAAGCCGTGACACTACACAACAATTTCGATCACTTCTAATATTGTTTATCCCGGCAATTATTACTCGTTATTCAAGTCACATCTCGTCTGAATCATTTTGCATCGAAAAGACTTTGTATCGAAACGACCAAAAACAGAACAAGCATTTAAAATTTGATTATTTTTTTACTTGAACATTTTATTAGAAATAGATGTTTTCATATTCGCTAATAAAGAAAACGGTTGGTTCTGATCCCTTTTTGCCTATCAGTATTGAAAGGAACTCTTTGTTTTCAAAATCTACTCAAACTAGTCGCGCGCACGGGAACATATGTTCAATTGATGTGCTGTGACTAATAAGATCAAACGATGTAGTTCATTTTCAATCACTATGGATGAACACCAACATAAGTGCAACAATTACTGCACGTATCTGATTGTAGCGCAGATCGTTTGAGTCAAAAATTTCTCGAGGTGTTACGTTGCGGCGAGTTAGATGCTCCTCTACGCGGGCGAACGGCTCCTCGTCGATCTCCAGTTCTTTTAGAAGCCTGTTGACCATGGTAACTTCCCCTCGGCCACTTGCAATCATGTCGAGTGTATAAATCTCAGCAGTTGCTTCTGCCACCTTGACGTTTTTGGCGATATCAGCGAATGACTCTCCTGGCGCCCACGTTTGAATTGCAGCCTCTTTCTTCGGGAAAGTACTAATTTTGCCATACACTCTCCTCAGGGAAGATAACTAAGAAGGAATATCAAACAAAAATTACTGAAACTACCATGGGGTAATCGTTACTTTTTAGCACATAACAGCAAACCAACAAGTTTTATTTTTTTAAAAGAAAAGTAGAATGTTGATCACATTGATCTATTTTTTTCTTCTAAATATTTGTGCTTACATGAGATGTCTTGGTGTATTTCCACTCGGCATGAGAGCATTCTCCTTCTTCAGCTGGTCTCTTCAGGCTCCTACAATGGCACAAGAAAGCGTGATAAGTAAAGAAAAATTCAACATTTTGCTTGAAAATTTTAAGACCAATCGCCACTTACTTTCTTTCCATCTTCACGGGTAATTGTTGGCGTCTTTGCCGGTACGCGTGCTCTTCGTGAATGAAATCGAAGCGCGTCTCATATGAGAATAAAATGTTCTCACATGTAAGTTATAGAGGTGGCAAATTGTGTAGGACAATAGACAGTTATGAATCTCCTTTGTCTAGAATAAACAAAGGTCAATTGAGAACAAGTCCTTTTCATTCGGAAAGTAAAAAGACAACAGCGAGATTTCTCACTCTTCATTTTGAATGGACAATCCCGCAGTGAAAGTGGTTTGTCAGATATATCCATCCCAGTTGCTACTTCGAGATCTCAGAGAAATAAGGTTGAAATTGTGTACTTTCGGAAAACAACGTCGGGATAAAATTTGGCTGAATTAGAGACGACGGTGTGAATTGAGTTGTGAATACTACTGGACTGATAGGGCATCCCTAAACTTTTTACTCGGTGACAAGACCAGAATGAAAGTTTCATCGAAGCTTTGGATTTATGTCTTTGCTTTTCTGGACGAAAAGGACTTAGTGAGTGCTGCTGGCGTGTGTTACGAGTGGTGGGAAATGATCTTCAGAATCAGAGATGTCCTTTCTGATGGATTTAGAGTAGGAGGAACTGGGTCTTTCGCGACGAGGAAGTTTGTATCGTTTCGTCCCACTGAGGATGTTTACTGCTTTGATCAACCTAAATTTGTCTTCCACAGCGATCTCAAATCGTCATTTGCAGCAAATAATACGGGTTGCTGCGAATTTGGATAGTCTGAACATTTCTAACTGTTCTGGTTTGGACCAAAGTTGCATCTTCCAAATCAGGCAAGATTTGAACCAGCTAAGACACGTGGATATCTCTCAGATCTCTGGAAACCCACAATTTACAGTTCTTGCGGTTGCATGTCTTTGCTCTTGCAAAAATCTTCAAATCATTGTAACTTATGGATTGACGTTAAGTCCGGAGGAATTGCTTTTCCTAACGAAAACATTTGACTCAGTTTCTAACGGAACATTGGAGATAGAAACGGAGGATGGCTACGATGCCGCGAACGCGATGAATATGTTTGCCAAAGAAGTGTTTGAAGACGAACTGTTGTTTTAGCTTTTTTTATTTTCGTTTTGCTTGGTTTTCGTTTCCGTTTCTGTTTTTGTGATTGGTGATTGGAATTTGTTGTAGACTGCCTAAGGTATACCAGAAGAACTAAACAATGTTTTTAGAAGTCTGTTTGCTTCTATTACGGCGAAATGCGATACGTTGTTGACGTAAGAAATAAAACAATAACCATGCATATAGCCATGTTTTGAGTGTCATGTTTCTTTACGCGCCCCATCTTACAGCAAAAATGTCAGAAATGATACTTTCCCATTTCATATTTTAATGCAACTCGCCAAGCTTATAGGGTTTGGCTTACTTAACAGAAAGGCACTTCAGAAAATTTCGAAAATGAGCGTGTTTAACTTTCTGAAGTGAAAGAAAATTCAAATTTCGCGCGCTCAATGTGGATAGCCAATCATAAGGACCGATTCTCATTTAATTATAAAGTTGTCGCCTTTTATTCCAACAGTGTATTTTGCGCTACTCCCACTGTTTTTTGGCCTAGTTCTTGTGTGGAACATTACTAAAAATGTATTCTTGAGGAAAGATAGTGTTTTTTTGAATTATTTTTTGCCGTTAACTTTCTTTGGATGTCATTGGGGCGATATCAAGTTAGAAGCCATTAATAATTCGTATTTTTTTAAGTTTTACAGTCAGTTATTGGCAGCACTAAAACATGGGATCCGCCATCCGGACTGACGGAAACGGAATCACAGAAGCGAAAACGGAAACGGAATACGGAATCAAATATCAATGATAGAAAATTAAACAATTTCACATTGCATAATTTAGTACAATCCAAAGAGAATTTGTTTTAGTTTTCTTGGCAGTTCCCTTAAATATATTCTTGTTATTGTGTCTTAATAAGATTTGCCGTAGTGTGGTTATTGCACTGCAAGGTCGATGAAAGTAAATATACGAGTAATTTTTATTCACGAGTTTATGGGTTGAATAATACAGTTAAATATTACCTCTGTAGCTAAATGTCAAGAATTTATTAATTAGCCTCAGACCACACCACGTGATTGTCCCCAAACTGAATACTCAACGCATGACCGACCCTTGATGTGACCACAGTTCCGGTGTTTTGGCAATAAGTTCAACTTTTTCGCCAGGTGAGTACTGATGGAATACAGTAAAAACCCGCGAGTAAGAACCTAAAAATTAAGAACCTGTTAGCCTAAAATTTGCCATTTATACCCCGTATAAACAAGAACCTGTTTAACCTAGAAAATGAAAAACAGGTTCTTATTTTTTAAAATCATATAAGTGAAATGCAGCTGCAAAGCTGTGCAAGAATCCTGTTTGGAGAAATAGGAGCTTGGCATTGCTGTGCAATTAAAAGTGCTACTTTATTGACATAATAGAAAAATAAAGTGCAAGGGGTTACATGTAATATTGTTGTATCGCATTTTGAAATACTGTACATCAATAAAACACAGCAATACATATAAATCAGCACAATATGCAGTCTGAGGTACAGTGGGAAGTGAGCAATATAAAAAGGATCCCTCTTTTGATCTTGGAAGCAGTTTCTCTGTCAACCTCAAAGTTTTTGTTACAGTTAAGGCTAGGCAGCTAGGCAAAATATGTAAATGTCTATGTTACTGTTCTTGAGGGTGGTGGTGCTGGTGGTGGAGGGGGGAAGGGGATGACTGAAAAATAGACTGATTACCATCTTCTTTTGCTTGTTTGTTTGTTTGTGTTTTTTTTTTTACCGAAATAAGAACCTATTTAAGAACCTAAATAGCCTAAAATTGTGTTAACTACCATTTAAATAAGAACCTGGGGCCCGTTTCTCGAAGCTCCCGGTAATTACCGGGCCCGTTAAGCTGTTTTGTTTTCCATTTTAGAAGGAAGTTTTAAAAGTTTTGAAAATTATACAGTAGAGTTATTAGCTAACGAAACAAAACGGACTTCATTAGAGGTCAGAACACACCCTACTTTTCTTGAGACTTTGATTTAAAAATATGATTCCGGGCCCGTTAAGTTACCGGGACTTTCGAGAAACGGGCCCCTGTTTAGGCCAACTCCAGAAAATGGAGGTTCTTACTCGTGGGTTTTTACTGTACTGGTGTACCGGTAATTGAGTTTACGTTGACGTCCGTATTTTTGTTGAAGAGGCTTATTAAACATGGCGCATTATTTTGATGTAATCAGTTGCGGAATGAAGCAAATGCATGCACAATTCTCTCTTCTCTTTGGACTCGACAATGCCATGGTTCTCTTGAGTAAGTTGTCTTGATAAATAAAACTGAACACTATTGAAGACAACCCAGAAAAGACACCCAGGAAAAACTTGACGGCGACGCCTTTCAGTTATATAAACGACGCCTCTGTCGATTTAAACAAAGTCTGTTTCCATATAACTTACCTTTTTTCTTAAGGAACTAGCTTTTGTCAGTGATGTTTTTGTCCTCGCTTTGCTGTCCCATGAGAATTGCATCCATTGCCGGAAGTGGTATCAAGAGTCTTTTCACCGGAATCGACTCCCGTGATACAGCAGTATTAGCAGTCTCCTCTACTCACCTAATTTATTCATTTATGTCTTTTTTTTATCTGTTTATTTATTTTTTTGTCATTGCTAACATTTTTTTTTCAAATCGATCGCTTGGAACCTTCTTTCACGGATTCCGTATTCCGTTTCCGTTTCTCAGATAACTTAGCAAGATCTAATATGTTTTCCAGCAAAAAACTGCATCGAATTGACTATTTAGCAATTATTGAATGATGTTGAGTATTATTTGAAAATATTATGCAGATCGAGGAGTATTTTAGGTGGATAACCTCCTCCGAGATCTACATTATTCTTCGCATCATATGGAAGCCGAATTCAGTAATTGTTAATATTTTTCATTCAAAATATATCTAACTTCTTAGCAAATTTTTCCTCCTCCCAGACTTTCTTCTAAACTTAAGTCTATTTCTAGGCAAGGTTTCAGGATATTAACAGATGTTTTCTCGTAGATACTCCTCAAAACATAGAAAACATCCGATAAGCAATATGTTTTGCGTAATCTTGAATTTCTTCCGTTCAGTTTTAGTCAGAAATTCAGCTATTTCGTCTTCGGATAGCCGTGAACGCCATTTTTTAGTTCACTCGTGAATAAACAGCTAGGTACTCTGGGTACAGAGGTTTCTCTTCCGTGTGGTGACACGTCTTTTGCCGAAGGGTCACTAGAAAGACTTGACAGAAACCGCAAAACTGCGCATGAAAAGTCTCTTGCATCTGGTCCAGGGATAAGGGGATAAGCCTACTGGGAGGTTAGTCTCCTTCGCAGCCGTTATTAGGGTCGTCTCGCAACGCTCCTCCCCACTACGGGGAGGTAAGATTGTTAAAAATTTTAAAATATTTTGAATGACTAAAAAGTCATTATTGAATAAGACTGAGAATCATGTGCAGATCTCTGCGGCTGTTATAATTCCACTGATAACATTGTCCTCCGACTGCATTGTGGTTCATATCATTCAAAAAGGGTTAAATATTCCATAGCGCTTGCGTTGGTTATGAGATTTCAGTTAGCCAACGAAGCGCGTGATATGCGAACGTTCTGTTTCATTTCTCAAGGGCTGTTCACACTGCCCGGAAACCACTGCATAGGTACCGGCCCGAAATGGTTTTCCGATCACGCCGTAAGTAATCGATATGCAACTGTGTACATATATATAGTTACTCCATTTCTCCCTGTCTGACGCCATTTTTTAAAAACATGGGCTTTGCAATGATTATAAAGCCGTGGATGGCCACATAACTAACAAAAACTGTGTGCACAGAGGGGCCCGATGCCCACTTTAGTACCCGGGTACAAGGTCGAGGCCTTGTACTCGGGCACCGGCACTTTGCCCAAATTCTAGCGTGGGTACGCTTGAAAAAAGGGTGTGTTCACATTAGTGCCCAGTGAAGTACCGTACTCAGGCACCGTGTCTGTGAACGCTGCCTTAATTTTCCGCGTGCAACAAAGGAATTAGGACACGTCTGCCGGCACGCAGGCTATTTGATCCATTGATGTCAAATTCAGCTTTTAACGAGAATCGCCGAAAGGCGGTTTTTAACTGGGCTGCCAAGGGGCTATTTTTTCTGAGGGGAGGGGGCGGCTATACACACTCAGGCTACCATAAAGCCTTGTCGCCTACCATTGCGTGAAACAGAATCTCTTGTGAGACTGAAACATAAACTCATTCAGAAAATTGTGCCCTTTTGAAAGACTTTCGTACCAAACAAAATGAGTACCATTTTTAAGTGGGGGCTGTATAATAACTTTTAATTTCCACCATTATGATCAAACAAGTTAGCCATTAACTTCAAGCAGGAAACAATTTGCATTATTTTCACGCACCCCTCCCCCAATCCCTATGCCGCTTTATAAATCCTCCGAAGTTTTTGTGCCAGCTAAACAATATGGAAACGCTATTCACAGTCCTTGGATATTAAAAAGACTGAACGCAACGCACTATGCCCTTGTTTACTGCCTTCTGATCCCATCTGCACGAGAACTCTTTCTTTTCAAGCGGTACATCTCAATGCACAATAATTGACCTTTATATTAATTAAAATCCTGTGGTTCATTTATATGAATACTGTTTTTGCCCCTCACATTTACTGTGTTCGTTCCTATTCAAAAAACCTTTAGGAAAATAAAGGTCGTGTAAGTTATGTGTATTATGTTTCGAGATAAATGGATTGTACTCTTTTTTAAGTTCCCGCCATTTTGCGATGACTTCAGTTTGCTTCTCCGTAAAATGGTAGAAGAAACATCAAGAAACATCACGCGAGCTGAAAATTTACAAAGGCATGTTTTTTTGAACCCGCTAATGCTGACATCAATGTATCGTGCTTGCTGAATGGGCGAAAACACAGAATTGTGATAACAAGATCATGTACAAACTTAATGATAAAAGCTTAGCAAGATACAGATACAAACAAAAGCAAACCCCCTGAAACCTCGACCTGGGCTACACTTGTATGCTTTACTCAGTCACCAAACCTTGTCAGTAATAGCTCCTATTTTCCTCAAGTTGGTCTTTGTGAAGCTCCCAGATGGGATGTCCAGGTGAAGCTTTGAACTTGTGTGCGAAATTTTCAAAGTTCCTATATTTGTCTGTGTCTTCTTTATCCTCAGTATCCGAAATTCAGACCTCCAAAGTGGCGTGTGTTGCATTAAATAGAAGGAAATATTAAAAGGAAAAGCCAGTCTTCTAACATGGCAAAGTTGTCACGTCCCTCTCGCTCACGGACGTCCATTTCGTCACATCAGGATTCATCTGACATTCATCGGCAACTGAGGTGTTCGCTTCACTGAGTACGAGAGCTTACAATCAAGTCTTTAGCCATAGTGTCGTCAGCTGGTGATATACTTTGCTAATAAATTCTGCTTATTAATTGCTCATGTACTACATCGATCGATAATTCTCTCTTTGAGTTCACGAAGCGGCCTGGGCGTTCCAAACCTGACGCTCACAGTCATCGTTTAGTGTGCACCTACCGTGAACGGCGTGTGGGTTTGTATGCAACGTTAGCATTCCTTTGAGTTTCCCAGCGCCAACATCATCAACTGACTTAAACTCGAACAACGACAAAACTTGTAAGAATGACTCCCATGATCGAATCGCTTTGAGCAACGCAAATACCTCCTTTCAGGTTCGCAACGCCTTCTGGGTTTCTGGGGCGGGGCGGAGGACAGGTACAAAAAGTATTCGTGCTAGGGTCCGTGCAAGGGAAAATCGTATGAAACCATTTGTGAGAACATCGTCTCTCGGTACCAGACCTCGTGTCTTCCCTCCCCCGGGGCACCGTTTTTCTGCACAGACGACCGAAAACCGAATTTATAACTGGCCGCCCTGAAAGGGGAAGCCCAGTAATAAAACAGAATCTTTTTTTATTTGTCGGCATAAAAACTGAAGCTTTCTGGTATACTGTATACGTAGACATACAAACATCGTCGGGTTTATCCTAATTTATCTTAATTATCATTGCACCTTATCTTCCGTAAGGAGGAATGAGTATGCCTTCGTTCGAGCAAACAGCTGACACAGGAATGTTTTGGAATGCTGGCGAAGAGGAAGAAGTGGTTGAGACTGTGTTACCTATGAAAGCCTCTAAAGAAGAGATTGTAGTAAAGCCTGAAGATGAAACTGAACTTGAAGACGTTGCTAATGTCCCTCTCTGGGGAGCGATTTTCAAACCGTTGCGTTTTAGTGAATGTATATTCTGATATGAGTTTTATCTGTAGACGGAAAGACTAATTCCACGAAAGGATGCTTTTTTCAAAGAGCCGAAAAAGGTGTCTGCTCTCGCAGGCTTGGATTCGAGTGGACGGGGCTAATGTTTTTAATGTCTTTTATTTTTTGCACGGGTTGCGTGCACCGTCTGCACTTTACATCTACAACATAAGTTTTGCGTAAAGTTCAAAAAGTCTATATTTTAACCGGCGTTTTGAATTTCCAGCGTGTGCGAAACTTTTTAGGAGTACCATTACGTTCTTAACAGTTTGTTTACTTTTTTATTTAAAAAAGGATCTGACTAGTCACATCAAAGACCCCCTTTGAAAAGTAACAGTAAGCATAATCATAATCCGATCACGCAAAAATTCTAGCATTCAACGTGATATGCGAAAGTTCAGCTTTATTTCTCACCTTCCGCGGGCAACAAAAAAGCATGCCCTTCTGCCAGCACTTGAGCTTTTTGTTCCATTGATGTCGAATTCCACTTTTAAAACTGTATAGGTAGACATACAGTACTTTAGGTTTATGCTAATTTATTTTATTTTCGCATCTTATGGTCCCAAGGAGGAAAGAGTACGCCTTCGATCGAACAAACTGCTGAAACTGGAATGCTTTTGAGTGCTTGCGAAGACGAAAAAGTGGCTGAGACTGTGTTACCTGTGAAACTCGCAAATGAAGAGGTTGTCGGAGAGCCTGGTGAAACTGAAGTTAAAGACAGTACTTATGTCGGTGAAAGCAGAAGTGTCATTACAAGGTAAGTACCGTGGAACCTTAGATATTCTACACTTGTTGAAAAAAAAAGTGGCAGTGAAACATTCTTGTTTTGCTCGAGATTAGTTTCGAGAGTTTTCATTTTTCATCCTTCCACACCAGAACAGTGTTCGGCGAAATTGACCTTTCGTCTCTGGGGAGCGTTTTTTTAAAAAGTTGCGTTTTAGTGAGTGTTTTATTCTGATACGAGTTATATCTGTAGACGGAAGACTAATTCCACGAAAAAAGATGCTTTTTTCAAAGAGCCGTAAAAGGCGTCTGCTCTCGCAGGCTTGGATACGTGTTGACGGGGCCATATGATTTTAATGTCTTTTATTTTTTGCACGGGTTGAGTGCACCGTGTGCACTCTCGGCATCTACAACATAAGTTTTGCGTAAAGTTCAAAAAGTCTATATTTCACCCGGCGTTTTGAATTTCTCCATGTGCGAAACTTGTTAGGAGTACAAATTCCGTTCTTTTCAGTATTTTATTTTTTTTTTTTTTTTTTTTTTAAAAAGATGATTCTACTAGTCACATCAAAGACCCCCTTTGTAAAGTGTTTCGCTCACCGTAACAGTAAGCATAATTATACATCGTAGACGAGCATCCGACTGAACGTCGCAGTCAAAATTTAGCAAAGTTCTGTTTTTTCAATAGAATATTGTTTAAAATCCGACAACGACAGACTTTGTTTAGTTTCTTTGCTCAACGCTAAGGGTAGGGTATCCTAATTTTGGAGGATAAAAGTAGCTAAGAGTTGATGTTAAATAATATAGTTAACATTATATTATGTTTATATTCTAGTACGACGATTTTTTTTGTCTTGAACTCGTCAAAAAGAAGAAGACTAACATTGACCCCTGTACTGCATGGAACAAAACCATTATTGTCCAGTCTCTGTCCCCTATCCCCCCCCCCCCCCCCACCCCCCAAAAGAAAATAAGCTTTACAAATTATGTTCTTCATTGATTGTAGATTTTACTTATTTTACTTACTTTTTACTTTTAGCTATGTTTTGATAACAACCGACTATTAAAATTTTGGCTCATTGCAGAGAAATAGTGACCAGTGAAGGTACCCGCTGGGCCCTCAAACAAGGGGGTGTCCATCTTATATTCCATCCAAATGCTGTGTCTGAGCCTACGTCAATAGTGATCTACAGATGGAAATCCAGTGTCTGCTCACCCCCGCTGCAGGAACACGAGGCCATTGTCAGCAATGTTATTGAACTATCTTCCCACGATGGCCAACGCCTGCAATTCAATACCATGGTGACTTTGTCGCTTTCTCACAGCGCACCGGAACTACGGGGCTACGAAGTGGTGATAAAACGGCAGATCAACAAGGAGACCAATGAATGGGAAGACGTGAGTGGAACCAAGGACTTACGCTGTCGCCAAGGTAATGTAGTAGACTTATGGCAACTATAGAGAACCGTTTGGCAGACCCTGTTTCCCTAAGCCGGAGGCGGTGTACGTCATCCGTATTGCTGAAGGGTTTGTCTTGTTTTGTTTTTTTGAGATAGTGTTCATATCAAGTGTTGCAGTTGCGATTGCGCTCTCGATCTGAATCTTGTTTCCAGTCTTGATTTCTATAACGTCAGTCTTTTTTAGATGGCAAAGGAAGTAAAAAAAAGGGCACAATTATTATGATACTTACATTTTACTTGTATTTTTTGTCGGTAGCAGATATCGAAGATGAGCGCCCTACCGACAAGGATATACCAGACCTTTTGTTCCCCGTTGCTCAAGCTGACATAAATGAGTGCTCAACATATGCAGTGGTTTGCCGTCTCAAATCTTCTCCGCCTTACACCATCACATCTACTGGCGGTTTATTCATTCATCCTGATTATCCAGGCGTGACGGTTACAATCCCCGAAAATGCTGTTGCACCCGAGTCACCGTTTACCCTGGAGTTAAAGGTTGGTGTGATTAAAAAGGTCCATTTATAAAGAAAGTGTTATCATAAAGGCTTTTTAAAGTGATACGTTTTTTTAAAAATGACGATCTAATAATGACCAGGCTAGAGGGCTGGACTGAAAAATCGTTTTCTGAATATTGGAGAGATCTTTTTGTTACTTGAATTATGGGGAACCTAAGTCAATTTTAAGGCCTAAAAGAATCCATGAAATTAACTGCTGATGATTACTCTTTTAAATGGTGCAGGTGCAAGAAGTTACAAATGAAGAATTTGAAGAGGAAGGTGTATTTCTTGGACCTATTCTGCGAATAAAATGCTTTGAAGTTATCCAGTTCTTTAGGCCTGTAACCATTCAGCTACCGGTTTCTCTTCAAGACCGGCAAGACTTTAATCCAGATCCCACTAAATGCCATGTAAGAGTGTTGTTCCTGAATTGCGAGGAGGAAAAAAAGGAATGGACTGAACTCACTGATCTGGTGAAACCTGCACAGTTTGACGGGAGTTTTGTTAGGATCCAGGTCCAACGATTTTCTGGGTAAAGACGCTAAAAAAAATCCATTTTGTTATTTAGAATAGATGGACTTTTTTAAAAGCCACTGTTTAACGGATTCAACAATGGTAAGTGTTAGTCCAACTTCGTTCTACATTGTTGGACGCAGCATGTTAGATGTGTTTTATGGTGTTGGATGCTGTTGGATCAAGTTTGAGTTCGCCTGTCCACAGACGTTTTCTCCTCGACAGCGCGCGCCTGTTTTCTCCTTTAAACACCTCCACCCCAAACCCGTTGCGCTTGAACACAATATATTTCCCTGCGGGTTTTTATTTCCGTATGTGAGCTCGACGATCGGCAAAGAGAAATCGATGGTCTGTGTACAGGCTCGGTTTGCGTGAGTTAAACCTGTAAACTGGTATGCGATGGTCCATGTCAAAACATGGATTAAACAAATAAAAGGCTTTTTTAGTTTTCCATTTTCGAAAAGTAATAAGCTCAGAATTTAAACTTCCCATGGGACATTTTGGACAGTTTTAGGTTTAGGTTTTTGGGTTTGTTTGGAAGCTCAGTTTAATAAGGAGTGGGTGTCTAGGTATTCCGTAAGATGCATCCAGGAAGTTACCAAAAATGACAGTTTTTCTTTTAAAACTTTATTTCTCATGCTCTATCCTACTCAGGATAGATATTACTCAGGTGGTTTGCACAATATTAAAACTCAAACAATATTCTGCAAGTTGTGGAAAAGAGGTTGACCGCTCATGAACGAATTGCTAACTGGCTTTTTTTCACTCAACACGCTAAGATAAGCTCTTTCGAGTTTCTCTTTGCAAAAGTACTCGCACTCTTTTCGTAGTTTAATCGTTATATCAGACGGCAATTACTTAGCACAGCTCAAATTTTATCTGCGCCATTTCAAGGCTCATATCAACTTCCTTCAATCTGGCTCTCACTGTTTAATTTTGGTTCTTCCAGATATTCCTATCTTCTCGACTTGTGGAAAGAAAACTCCAGCGTTAAAGGACTTGGAATTATTGGTTACATGAACCGACTGATAAGCAAGCCGTGCAGACCAGCAAGTTTCTTCGCTTACTTTCGTCCGGATTCTCCTGAAATTTTACGCCTTATTTGTTGTCATACACACCTTACAAATCGAGTGATACAAGATCTTGAGAAAAGAGACATAACATATGTTGACGGCAGCTCAATGCAAGATATGATACCACGAGAGGACAAGGCATTTGTTTTTGTATCAGGGGGAATATGTCCATTCGATCATGAGAACGTGAATGATGTTTACCTCAGGTAAGCTTTTTTTTATAAACACATCACATACCAATTCAAGAACGTGGAGCGCCTACACAAATTCCGCCCCTCACCCTATCCCCAAGTAGAACCGCTTTGTAATTGAATAGTCGTGCGAATCGGTGGTTTTAAAATGCTTAAAAGCATCCTTTTGACTTTGGCAGCACTTCTTTGACGATTTTCTTTTTTAATACCACGTGTAACGTATGGGTGATATACGCGCTGGTGCAATATTACACGCGTAGACGATGTCTGTCAATTTTTAAAGAAGCAACCGGCCTCATGCTGCAGGCAACTGTAGGACGCCAGTAGGGAGTAAAAATGTTTGTGGCATTTTTTGCCTATCTAGTTGATTCCGAATTCATCGCAGCCGAGAAATGAAAAAATGAAATGCAAATTGAATAAGTAAGGCCTTTGTCTTTTTTATGTATTAAGCTTACTGTAAGAGAACCGTTGTTAGAGCATGAATATTTTTGGTTTACATTTGAACAGGTTATTAGAAGACGAGTTCCAGACTGAATTGCGAGTTCGTGTCGTTGAAAACGAAGACCCAGCAAAAATAGAGTTCCATAACACCTCGACAACTACAGGAGGAAAGAGTCTGTTGTCTAAAATTCATTTGCCCATCCAGAACATTCCACTAGCGGTTAGTAGGTTCAGATTCAGATTTCAGATTATTAAGTTGTATACATTGATGTCATACCACTTTTTCATTTCTGTCAGCATTAAACCCTCTTAAAATGTGTAAAATTTCAATGAAAAGTCCTCTGACGATGATCATTATCCAAGCCTTTTAGTGACGTTTTGAGACTGAGAATTTTAGTGGGAAAAATGGAGCATTAAGGTGGACATTTTAGTGGGGAAACAAAAGCATAATGTACAATGGCCTAAAAGGAAATACGTTCTCCGTGACGTCATCACCTTGTTTGAACTCTAATTGGTCATGGGCAACGACCAATCACAGCGCGCGTAATATTCGCCACATTGTACAAACTCTTATCGACTGAGGGTTAAGGTGATGTTACATGAGACGATTCGCAACTACGATTTTTAGCGCAACATAGCATTACAACATTGTTTCGAATGGTTGGAACATTGTTCCAACATTGTAACGCTGTGTTGCGCTAAAAATCGTCGTTGCGAATCGTCCTGTGTAGCATCACCTGTAGAGGTTAAGGTTAGGGTTTTTGTTTGCGTTTGCGCTAGGGTTAGGGTCAGGTGACTTATATACACTCAATTCACGCCATATTCACTGGGTACTTAATGTTTAACAAATCCACCAGTGCCTCGTTCTAAGTCATTTTCAGTTTGCCCAACGCTATTATCTAAACACCGTCTACGTGAACAATTTCATGAAAGCTTATAGTGTAGACTAGAAAAGTATTTATCTGGAGATTCTATGATTTCTTAAACCGCGGCCTAAGTTAGATTTCGTTTAGATAACCAACCCTTTGTATTGCAACTTAAGAGTGAACGAGGAGATTGCTCAAGATACACTGTAGTTGTAAGTTGTTTCTTGTAGAATTTTTGCTTGTCCAAGCAGTGAAAACGTTTACTGAAATTGTTGCGGGTATTAAAATTAAAATCATGCCATTTGAAAGACAATCAAGATTTTCCTCTTAATTAATAATGAAAATATTAACATTTCCAGTGGGTAGCGTGAGAAAACAGACGACATTTCGCGACGCAACCACTGTTTTTCCTGCGAAATGACGTCTGAGAAACGAGTGTAGAAGTTCCATACTGATGACGTGTTTCTACCCAGATCTGGGTAGTGCTTCTGATCGGTTGAAGAAAATTTCCATCCAATAAGAAGCACTACCCAGATCTGTAAAACCTCTTAGTTCCTCGTGATAACAGAATCTTTCTGACCCTGATTCGCAATCAAGGTGTCTGTATGCTATTCAGTAATTGTCATTTTCTACCTTTATGCCTTTCCAGCCAGATCGGGATTCGAGGGAGCGTCCGCGACAGCCTGGTAAGTTTTCAGTTTTCATTATATCTTTCCACTTCTTTTCCTCAAATTTCATTCAGTTTATGTTTTAAGTTATTGCCCTGTGATCCTCAATAAATTGTCTCTGCAATGTTAGCTTGTCTTAGCTCATCCTGCAGAGCCTTTCTCTCGCTTGCTTAATTTTGGCGTCCTGGAGAAAGACTCCTCATGAATGGAGTAAGATCTTTGTTGAACATGCGCGGCATGTTGCTTCAGCGGGCTTGGTTAGCCAGACGATCGGTTTATCAATAAACGGATGCTCGCACTCGAAAAAACCAGTTTGACGAGAGATAACTAGATTAATTAGCGGGCTCGGTTGTGACCATCGGTTTAAGAAATAGCGGGTACTCGCACTCGAATAACCCTGTTTGACAAAAAATTGATTAGCCCAGAAGTTTGAGCTGCGGTGACTTCAAAGGTTTGACGCGATTCAGGTAGAGCCTCCTTTTCTCCTCCTCACTCAAAAAGACAAAAGGAGGAGGCTCTGCTCGCAGGGTGGTCTTAGCTTTGCTAGAAGAAGTCTTTCTTTTTTGTTCGAAATTGGGTATTGCTTTACATTAACGAAAACGAGAGCCGCTCTGAACAGAAGCCAACCGTCAAGGTTGAAGCCTTTTATATAAAATGACGACAATCAAGAAGTACGGATATGTTCTCGAACTTTCGACCGGCCTCATCAGGGTAGCTAACAATTTCGGATGAGACGAAAAAGCCACCTAAAACTTTCGAGGTGACCAAAGTTCCCCTAAGACATCCGAACAGATAAATAGTTTTTAGGGCAGCTCTGCTTTGAATTAACCAAATAGTCTTCTTAAGCATAGAAAAAACCATTCAACACACTTCTGACGTACTGTATTTGGAAACATAGTCGTTGGGTCTCCGCCCCTCAGCCGAGTGTGTACACTGCCGTCGCTAATTTTTCCATAGATTGTTGTTGTTCTTCTTCTATACTGTTAAGAATACGTTGTTATAATTAGCCAATACGATGCCTTCAGAAAATTTATAGTTCAGGATTTTGATAGACCGTGATACCTAAAATTATTCTGCATATAGTCTGCCCAGGTAGAGACTGGATAGCAGCTGTTTTGTTATACATATATACCTTCACGTTCTCCACATAGTTACCCATACACTTTCAAAGTTAGGGGGATTCGTTTTTTTGTTATTTTGAAGATAAGAAAAAACAGTAAACAATTCCAACAGGTTAATAGGCGTATGTTGTAAAAGAATCCAATCTTACGTTAAAACAATTAAACGACAAAAACGAAAATTAATTACGAAGTTTGGACTAAGCGATAAACCATGGTTAAAAACTATAAATAAACCCTCATGTACATTGACAGACTTTTTTGTGCATTGGAAGGAAGCGGTGTTACAAGAACCAGGCATACTGTTCCAGGCTCTCAGTTATAAATGCGAACAAGCAAAACAAGAAGCTTATGCATGGCCGCCTTTTTCTATTGCATCGCTTTTCTGTTCACTCGTACTCCCCACTAACTAGGCCCCTAGAACAGACTATATCAAACTGGGCTTCAGTTAGCATCTATCGCTTTTTTAATCAGCTCGAAAACTTCAGACGTAATCAAAGGAAATAATACTGATTAAGTTGTCCGTCTCTTAATAACAGAACCACCAGAGAAGCTCATCTTCGGTGATCTTCGACAGATGCGACAGGAGGCATGGAAAGAGACCGACAAAACTGAGTTATCGGAGAATTTGAAGAGTATGGCGCTTGAAAATGGCCTGGTTATTTCTGACAATCAAGGAAAGGGAAACTGCATGTTTTTTGCACTTTCCGAGCAGCTTGACCACGTAAAAGGAATTAAACTCTCCCACTCAAAGTTAAGGGGAACCATTGTACAATATCTGAGGAACAACCCTACACTGGTTAGTTTGTTTGTATTAGTAACTTATAGTGTTTTTTTAGTCTTCTTGATTCTAGCTATTTAAGGCTGCGTAACCCCCAGGGGTTGGGGTACTCACTAAGGTTTTATATGGGCAGGCTCCACCCCGAGGTCCAACCCTTTACCATTTTACCTACCGTATTTGACAGAAAAGGTTATTACTACTACTACAACGTATTGTAGTACTAGCAAGGATCGGTTACTCCCTTTTTTGGACAGAAATTCCCTCTAAAGAGGGCAAGAAACCATTAGCGCCGATTACGTCATGAATAGGCATCTCTCAAGATTTCAAAGTGAGTAACACGGTAATACTAATTTTTAAAAAAGTAATGCAATGTTTAAAAACTGAGGTCGCCTATTATATTATCGAGACAATTTGTATGAATCTGCCATCATATGTCGTAGGTTTTGATTGGTTGACTAAAATTAGAAAAGCCACCATTGCTTGAGTCATGTCGACGAAGGAAATAAGGGCAATCCTACACAAAATAGAGTGGGATTGATAAATTTGTTTACTCAATTTTCCTTCTCACTGTTATCGTTTTTTTTCTTCCAACCATGACGTAATCTTAATGAGATGCTTGTCATGACGTCATCGCGTTTATGTATTCGCGCCCTCTTTTTTATGAGATTCTTGTTCCAAAATTGAAGCAAGCGGTGCCTACTAAACTACTAAAACTGTCTCTCAAGGCTCCCGGCCCAAAAGTTTTCGTCACCCCTTGAAAAAAAGACAGAGATTAATATCGGCGATTATTCAACGAGTCTGGAAGTCAAAGTTAGTTTGAAAAGTTAACCATTGAATTTTGGAGTAGAGAAAGTAATAAAATGTTATTAACAAAACCGCTGGGTTTTTTTTAGTTCATACACTGTATTTTTTTTGCTTAAAGTCGGATGGAACAGAGCTCTTCCACTTTGTTGATGGATATTCATCTTGGGATGACTACCTCACAGACATGATGGCAGATGGTACATGGGGAGATCACGTGATTCTTCACGCTGCGGCAAACCGTTTTAAAACGTGCATCCGCGTGATCAGCAGTCTACCGCATCACGATGACGTAATGATTTGCCCAGAGTATGATGTTACCGATGGCAACCGACTTGTGCTGGGTCACGTGCACCAGCTGCACTATGTTAGTCTTATTTCACATAAAAGAGGTTAGGTTGTCCTGTTTAACCGTAATTTAAGATTTCTAATCTTGCCTTAGCAAATTAAGTTTGGATGTTTTTTCCAGGCTGGACAGTTGAAATTTCTGGCCTACCTTTGGGATTTTTCGTGTTACTTCGGCTATAATCGTATCATCGTTTTTAGAAAGATTTTCCAAAGATTTTTATCTTAAGCAGTTTTTGGACAGGTGTAAAAAATTCTTTGCTCCAACTTGCTGGCATTCTACTGAGCCTATTAGCAAGAACGAACTCGTCCTCTGCTACCAACCCTATAGAGCGTTTTCACATGACGTCACGGCGGCCATATTGGTGTTCCAAAACAATGAAACGACGGCCATGTTGGTGTTCCAAACCAATTCTGTGGGAGCTGAACTCTTTTCTTATGTAAACGCTTCCTTTTTTCCAATAAATTTGCATCGAGCAGGCCACGTGAGTGAAAACGCTACATTTCTTCGGTTCCTTCTGTAGGTACTGAGTCATAGAACACGTACAACAAAGGAAACAATACAACCAAACAGTAAATGCCCCAGGGGAACTCTATTGTTTGGATCCTTGTTTTTTTTGTGATGACAGTGCCTGCAGAAAGACCCACTTCCCCTGTTCCTTTATTACCATTTCTCGATTGTTTCGCACCACCATAGAATGGAGAAAACTATGTTAGGGCCTGTTTACATGGAGGTGGGGACCCCAGGTAGGTGAGGTAACATGTGGCGGGTCACTCCACCTGTCATTTAAACGTGATCAAATTAAAATGAGTGATTATATGGACAGGCGGGTTACCCCACCTAAGCGGCTTACATCACCTACATGGGGTCCCCCACCTCTATGTAAACAGGCCCTGAGTGGTATTAGACACAGGCCGTAAAGAGCTACTCACTGGGGTGAAGGGCAGCAGGGCAGGGGCCAGTATTAATGAGTGCAAAAATTTTACTTATTATATTGAAGGTAATTTAGCAAATTTTATCCAACTCGCCACATTCGCCTAGTTTAGTACCTGCCGTTACAATTAAGGTATATTTTTAACAACCGTTTTACTCATTATTTAAATATGAGACTGGAAGTCGCTTGGTAAATAGTGGCTAACAAAAACAGCCTTTGGATGTACTACAATTTAGTCACATGTCTTGATCAGTCGGAGACTTCTTACTAAAATAGAAGTGGATGGTAACAGGGAAATGTAGACAAAGTGTTTTTAAAGCTATTGATTGATTTTCATAATTAAGAGAGAGCATAGATTATCCATGGAGAGAGAACCTTTCAAAAGTAGTTTTTTTCAGTAATGATATATCAACAATAATTAGTTCTTACGTATTTACCTATAAAGTTATTTTTTTCTTGGTTGTTTGGTTTTATCTTGTTATTCGTATTTTTAGTAATAACTCCACGGGTTGATTAGCGTTATTTTGCTCATAGATCCTGCAAGCAACCCACCAGAGGTAACTTTACCTCTGCTCAAGACTGAGGATCTTCCTATAACAGTTGTACCATGGGATGACGGCCGAATTCCAACTGACATTTTGTTACTAACGGTAAAGGACTGTGAATTCCTAGGCTGCCTTTCCTATCTGAATTCCAGTTTTTGTAGAAGTTACTGCAAAGACCTTGGTTACGTATACTTCGGGGAACTGGGAAGAGGTGAAATGAAGGTTAAAATAGCTGTAATGAAGTGCTACAAGGGTTCAATCACTGCTGGAGGCTCTGCAGTCTCTGTATCGGCAGCTGTCAGAGTCTTGAGGCCCAAAGCCACGTTTCTCGTGGGTATTTGCCACAGCTTAAAATCCAGTGAAGTCAAACTAGGAGACGTGGCTATTTCAGAGATGTTAATAACCTGTGTTCCATCCAGTGATGAAGTCGGCGACAAAGTTCCGTTGAAATCCCTTCTTTTGAGGCTGATCCCTAACGCTGGAGATGGTTGGAAAGCACCTTTAAAAGATCCCAAGGCACTTGAGGTGAAAATACACCGCGGCGATTTTCTGAGTGTTCCAGGGGTGATTGATAACAACGAATGCCGCGAGACACTCATCAAGCGCTTTCCACAGGCAATTGCTATGGAACTGGAAGGGCAAGGTAAGCATATTATGACATATGGTGATAGCCTGCGTAACGGGCGTTCCTTAGCCGAGCGCGAAACGAAAGGGACAACCACGGAACTGATTGTCTCCCTTCTTATGCTCGGCTAATTAACGCCTGTTATGCACACTAATTATGACCGTTTTAAGCAATTTTGCAGGAAGTGGAGTAAAGATTTCTTTTACGAATCTTATTTCTACTAATGATGACACCTTAATTAACTGGAAAAGCGAGATATCGCCCCATGTAAGGGGAATCCAAGACAGTCTAGGATTCTGGATTCCACGCCGTGGATTCCAGATTCCAGGTCCTGGTTTCCAGTCTTTGCAATTCAAAGTGGACAGACTGCAAATTATAGTAGTTGCTAAAACATATATCTACGTGTCGTAACTGTTCACCAGTAGCAAACTACCGATGTCAAACTACTGATGTTGTCAGTCGAACTTGGATTCTAGATTCCAATCGTCAGTAAGATTCTGGATTCCATAAGCAGGATTTTCCCGGATTCCCTTGCATGGGGCGAGAGATAATGGATGTCTCAAAATCGTTGTTTACGTAAAAACATCATGCCAGGACGAACAACTCAAATATTTTTTTTTCGATCGTCTCCGGGCAGTCGCCAGAAAGGATATCAACTGCCTAGACTTTTTTTTTTTTCGGCTACGGATCAAAGTAAACGGACCCAGACTCAGGCATAATAAATTATGCCAGTAGTTATAGAACAACTGCCTAAAACATTTGATAAACGTCTTCTAAACTTGTTATTCTTAGAAGTCAGGCTTAACTGTTCACCATTTTACCTGATTTTGCGGTGCGCAAGAATGGATAATTTACAAAACAGATATTTCCGATCATGTCAAACTACTTTATCAAAGATGGAAGATTGGGCTCCTTGAAGACGCGTCGATCCTTCAAAATATAATCTTGGATTCTATCCAGGTTTATTCCTTCAATCGTCATAAGATTCTGATTCCATGTTTTGAAGTATTGAGAAGCAAACGGATTTTTCCCGAACACGGACCTTCCTATTACATTGCCATGGGGTGAATAGTTTGTGAGCACATCCTCGACTCTCGAAACATTTGATAGAAGTTGCTTCTCCCGCGAACCATAATTTCCCGGATGTTTGATAATTTATGCTCAAAATCGACTTAAACAGACTTTTTGAAAAAGAGAGCTATAAAAAGTGTTACAGGATATTCAACTGGAATCCAGAACTCAGAGTCTCCGGAGTCGCTAAAGGTCAGCTGTGAGTGACTTCAAGACGCCCGTCTTTTGTTATCATACCCTTGATTTTATGATCCAGAAAACGAAACCGTTTTACGTACCATCTTGTTTAGTTTATAGCTAATAACCCTATTGACCGCAGGTTTAGGTCAGTCGGCAAAACACTATATAGCCTGAAAAGCGGGAGTTGGCCAGTTCTATTTCATGCCGGACTAATACCAGGGTCTCCCTCATATTACTGAAACAAGATTCTACCATTGTTCTGCGACTTCTAAACCTTAATAGGTCGCATAGTCCATCCCGCATTCTATAGAAATAGCACCCGCAACGAGAGGTAGTGTCCTCAAAACGGCATTTTACTTTTTGTTGATCGCTCTGTTTTACTTATTATAAGGAAACCTAGGGTCCTGTTAGCCGTTTGTTTCATCTTCTTCCTCAGATACTTAGCCTGGTGACCTCTTTCAGAGAGAGGCAATGCCTCAGGAAATGGGTATTAGTAATATCCAACTAGTGGTCTATTATCAATGCTGTGTTCTGATTGGTTGAGCTACTACTAGGCTATATGTTATAGCCCACTAGTAGCGAAAAGCGCCGGCTTTTTGGCGGCAAAAAAGGACTTAAAGTCTAGCTTTAAATAGCTAAAGTTGTTTTGTCTCGATATTTTTTACCAACTAAATTTGGATTTTACTTAAACAGTTATTCCTCTCGTCCTCATGGCCTCTGAGTCAATAGCCCATTCGGCCGAACTACAGTAGTTCGGCCTCATGGGCTATAGACTCAGGACCCATTCGGGCTCGAGGAATAATTGTTAATTAAACTGCGTGCAACGTTGCGAAACAAATTCCACGTTTTTGTTGCCTGTTTTAGCGTAGCTTAAGGGATTGCATTCTCCATCCTTCCTTTCACGTCTGTGGAGTCGAATTTTTCAGCAACCGGCCCCTTAGAACGTTGACCTGCCTGGCTCTGCTCTTGGTAATTTATTCATCGACGTCATTGACTTTATTCCGTTATAGGTCTTTATGCAGCAGCCCACGCTTTGGACGTTCCTTGGATTATTATTAAAGGCATTTCAGACTACGCGGATTGCAGAAAATCCGGTACTGATCGTTGGAGATCGTTCGCGAGTTTAATGGCCGCTTCGCTTACTGCTCATATCCTCAGTGATCCCGTTGTTTTTCAAGACTGGCCCCACTATAATGAGAAAGGTGAGTACTACAACAAGTTACCCTTTACTGGAATATTTCACTTGTTTTTACCCCTTAACCTTACACCAATACATAGTTCCACAAATTAAGCTTCAGTTCAGTGGCCTGCGCCACTTCCAATGAATCTCACCTCTTATAATACTGACAAAGTCATCACTCAATCATTGATTCACTTTAGCATGTTGTTCGCGTACACAACTGGCCCTTTGCAGATTACGGTCACATGGTACAAAAAACACCTAACTGGATGGCAAAAGACGCAGAGGGGCAAGAAAAACAAACAGGTTACATGATTTAAAAAGCAAATATCCTTTCTTTTCACCGTCCTACTGCGTCGTTTGCCATCCAGCAAGGTGTTTTTTGTATTATTTGACTGTATTTTGCAAAGGGCCCATTGTCGCACTCAAAGGTTTCAAGTAGACTATCGATAGTCTCCATTTTGCCTGAGGAAAATAAGCCCGAGGAATTACTCGCAGTCTTGATTCAGAGTGGAC